CAACTGTTCCAGGCATTAGGACCTGGATATCCTTGGGAGGCCACGAGAGTGCCGCCTTGGTCCCTGTTCCTTGGGCCTCGGGAGCAGCCCTGGTTACCACCCCGTCCTCTCCTTCTGGTGGTTTGGTTCTGTAGTTCTCTAAATACTCCAACATATTTTCTTTTTGCTTAGCCAGAGCCATCCTCTGTAACTTGCAGCTAAGGGCATCTTAAGTGAAACGATAGAACTCTTTGGGCTTCGCTAACTGGCTTATGTAGTCCATACACAGCTTTAAAGACCTATAAATATCAACACGGCAACAACCCCCAAGTTTAACCAAGATCTCTTGGCTAACCTTGAGTCCGATATATACAACTACGTAACGACTGGACCCCCTTGGCCACCTACTAGCACATCCCACTTAACATGTCCGACACGAATTTCAGACACCACCACCAACCCCCCGCACACAGACACAGCACTGTTTCACCTCAAATCATCTCCCCATTTCAGAAGATGGTAACTCCATCCTATCAGTTGCTGAGGCCAAAATTCTTGAGTTACCCATGGCTTCTCTCCGCTCATACCCTGCATCCAGTCCAATGGGAAATCCCATTGTTTCTACTTTCAAACTGTACCAGCGTCTGACACTTCTCGCCACCCTGACCCGAGCCACCTGAATTACGCGGAAACCCCCTCACAGGCCTCCTGGCTTCTGATTCTGTCACCCTACAGCCTGTTCTCAACATAATTCTCTTTTCTTTTTTTTTTTTAATAAATTTATTTATTTATTTCTGGCTGTTTTGGGTCTTTGTTGCTGCATGCGGGCTTTCTCTAGCTGCGGCGAGTAGGGGCTACTCTTCGTTGTGGTGCATGGGCTTCTCATTGTGGTGGCTTCCCTTGTTGCGGAGCATGGGATCTAGGCATGTGGGTTCCAGTAGTTGTGGTTCGCAGGCTCAGTAGTTGTGGCGCATGGGCTTAGCTGCTCCGCGGCATGTGGGATCTTCCCAGACCAGGGATCGGACCTGTGTCCCTTGCGTTGGCAGGCGGACTCTTAACCACTGCGCTACCAGGGAAGTCCCTGTTCTCAACATAATTCTTAATGGAAGAACCCTAAGTGAGATTGCGTCACTCCTCTGCTCAGATCCTCAGAGCAAACGCCCAGCTCCTCACTATGGCTAAGTAATCTGGTTCTGGAATCTGGCCCCAGGGCCCTGATCACCTCATCTCCAGCCCTCTCCCTGGCTCCACACCAGCCCCACTGGCCTCCCTGCTGCTGCTCAAACACCCCGGCACGGTCCTCCCTCAGAGCTTTCACACGTGCTCTTCTCACCGATACGCCCCCGTGCCTCACTCCCTGGATTCATTCAGGGCTCTGCTCATAGTCTAGCACCCGAGAGGCCTTCTCTGATTTCATGTCTAAAATGGCCACCACCCATCCTGCGCGCCTGCGCTGTGCTCTCCTCACTGCGTGGCGTCAGCGGGCGTAGCCTACGCTCAGCAGGCTGCCATCTGTTTCCTTCCAGGTGGATGCAGGCTCCCTGAGGACAGGATCTTTCTTTTGTTTACTGCCGTCTATTCAGAGCATGCCCTGCACAAGGACCTGGTGAATGAATGGAAAACAATGCCCAAACTGCAGTCAGAACTTTGCTGGTTTTTCATTCAGCCTTTCTCATGTGAATGTGAAGCAGCTCAGGTACCACCACCAGGTACCACCACTCTTCTGGAAACGATGATGAATTTCTGCTATTTTTCCTACACAGTCTATTCTTTTTTTTTTTTTTTTTTTTTTGCGGTACTCGGGCCTCTCACTGCTGTGGCCTCTCCCGCTGCGGAGCACAGGCTCCGGACGCGCAGGCGCAGCGGCCATGGCTCACGGGCCCAGCCGCTCCGCGGCATGTGGGATCTTCCCGGACCGGGACACGAACCCGTGTCCCCTGCATCGGCGGGCGGACTCTCAACCACTGCGCCACCAGGGAAGCCCTACACAGTCTATTCTTCATTCAACAGTATGCAGCTGAAGAACAAGGAGCCCCTGACAGGGTGCCGCATTCTGCACATGGTCATCACCCCTGTGTCTCTCGCTGCCATCCACCCTGCGCTAAGGTAACTGATGATCCCTATATCGAGATAATTTCTGTCTCCATCTCCCACTAGACCTCTGAATTTAATAAAGTCCATGCCTTAATTGGAAGGCCACATTTGCCTTCTCCTTGTCAAAAATTTCTGAAGATAGGGAGCAACAGACCTAATACAGAAAGGATAAACAATGCACATGCAGGGATGCTCATTGTTGATGAGGGTGTGTGTGTTTGTGCGAGTCTGGCTCATGGCAAACCCAGGTTAACCTATAGCATTTCAAATTGAAACCTGGTGTTCTAAAAAAGGAGAAAAAAAGTTGAAAGCAGTGTAAGGAGAAAATACATCAAAAGCACGAAGAAGGTTCAGCAAAGTAAAGTGAAAAGAAGAATTAGCCTGATGCAGAAGACAGCATGAGACTTACAGCCAGACAGAGCTGGGTTTGAGTCCCAGCTCTGCCATTTGTCAGCTGTGCGCCCTTGGGTGGGTCATTTAACATCTCCAATCTTCAGTTCCGATGGCTAATTATGCCTGCCTCAGAAGGCAAATGTGAGGATTACAGAAGATATGTTTAAAGTAGTACTCAATAAATAATAGCTGCTGTTAAAATCATTAACAGACTATTCAACTAATTTTTCAAGTTGAGGAACATTAAACTTACTGTTTCCCTTGAAAATGAAAAAAAAAGCCTGAAGCTCACAGTTTTAAGGTCATGAGATAATATTAAAAAATACAGGGGTGGGGTGGCAAGATGAGGTTCTCCCTCCCCATGACAAAGGTACGTCTCTCCCCTCTGTTAGGGAGCTGACCTCAGATAACCAGGCTAAAAGCAGGAGGAGAGGCTTGACCTGTTTCGACAGGTGCAAAACACTTTGAGCCAGACGTTCCATTTTGAAATGATACCTGGTGGCACAGAACAGATCTAATGCCATCTGAGTTCTGTCTGCCAACCGTCTGGGCAGAGGCAATGCATAAATGCCCTTCCATCTGATGTCCAAGCTGAACTTTATTAGATGTGTAAAGTAATACATCTTTGAACGATGCATAAACTTGTGGAGAAAACCATGCAAGTGCTGATTTGGTATCTTGCACAGCAGGTACTTAAATAAATATGGGGGTGATGATGAGGTGCAAAATATGAAACTAAAGGACCTTGAGAAAGTGTAAATATCCATAATCAGCCTCATCTCATCTCTTAAATAAAAAAAGCTATACAGGCATATTATTCCACTGAGATTGGAGATTCATCGATAGCTTCATGGTTGTAAGCAGACCGTTTGTTTGCTATGACCCTAAGTTAAAGCCCTACTAGCGTCTTTGCCTTATTAGCTCACCAGGAGTTAAACAGTCTTTAGCAAGAAACTGCAAGTTAAAAAAACACAAGCTTATAAAATTAAGAGTTATTTCATTCTGTATCCTTTTATACTTCCTGAGTAAATGTTGTCTCACGAACATAGCTAGACCACAGGTTAACAAATGAATTACTCTGTAGTTGTACGCTGCTGAGTTAAAATAATCCTTCCACCGTTGACATTAGTTAGAAGCTCCAGTGTTTGAGAGGAAGCCTAATTCAATCTACCCACCCCTCCTTGTACCAACCCTTCCCCAGCACTCATCCCACCTTTGCCCAGCCACACTGTGCTCAACACTAGGACCTTCCAGAATATTTCACAAGAATCTCTCTCAGCTGCTTTTTGTTTTCAGCCTCACAGTCTTCTAAGAGAACGAGAAATTGATCCTCGTCTTTGTTTCACCCCAACTCCAGAGGCATTTGTTATAGTTGGAATGAATATAAAGGTGGATACCTAAGCAACTTTTAATAAAATAAAGAAAAAGGATAGAAGTTATCCCATTTTTCCAACGTAATTTATATTTTTACTAGAATCTTAAAATACGGATTTTACATATTTCAATATTTTTCCTGCTTCCAATAACCAAAACAGAAACATTTGCTAAATAAGCTTAAGAACTGTGTAGGCTCAAGCAGAGTTCTGATGCCCAAGTGGAAGAGCGGGGATACTGGACTTAGAGAAGGGACTGCATGGATGCTCAGATGGGGAGAAAGCACATTTGAAAACTGTTCAGCAAATTTCCTTCACATATCCTTTTTGGGGGAAAAAAAGCGCATTTTCTTCTCACAAGTTTTTTTTTGTCTGAGTGCAACCATCTGATGGCATAAATATTTGACGTTTAGCCCAAGCTTATAGCATTTCACAATTCTTTCAGAAACGTCCATCCTCAAAGCCTTTATATTCGGTATATTATCTTTAAATTACATTGCTAAATGCCCACTTATAAAATATATACCAAATGTTCTTTTTAATCACTTAAAGCTCCAAATGCAGAAACTGTTTGGCATTAGATAAATATCTTAAATGTGAAATAGGCAAGAACACCTTGAAATAATGCTTAACTAATCACAAGGCAACTACTCTGCAGTAGACGGGTGAACCACTAATTAGACAAAAGGAAATAAAACTGTCACGGTAGAATAAAAGGACAGAGAGAAATAAGCAGCAATTACTGTTTTATCGTCAGAGAAAGTAGCATCAAACACGGCTCAGTAAGAGGGAAAAAACCCCACAGCTCTATGAGTAAATACGAGCACTCATTAAATTAGTACTTGGCGCTAGACACAACTCAGGATGAAAATGACATGTCAAAAAGTGCATTCAAAAAAGGAAAGAAAAATACCATAAAGAGTATGTAAAGGTGCTTTAGTTAGGCTATGCGGCATATTAAAGAATAATATTACATGACAATTTTCTTAAACTGCTTAAATATTTCCAAGCCAGTCTTCAAATAGCTGTTTATTAAGGATTGAGGTAGGTCTACTAGACCAGGTTAGTCTTTTCAAAGTTTAATTGGTACACTTAATATGTAAATGGTACCAACAAGTGTAATGAGATGTATTTTAAACTTTAAAGTTTGGAACAACTTACATTCTGTTGCTTGGAATAATCTTGTGCCCTTCTCTGAACCAAGTCACTTGAGGTCTGGGGCAGCTGGTGATGGGCAGTAAGTTGAGTACAGCTGCATGTCCTTGAGAGACCATTTTTCTCTGATCTGTATCCATGAAATTTCCCATATCTGCAAAGAAAAATCAGACTTTTTAAGTTTCAGAAAATTCTTTTTTGAGGGGGCGGGAGGTCAAAGATGGAAATAACTATATTTTATTGCAAAGTCACCAATGTTGCTGTAATTAAGCAGTAAGACCAGAGGCGAGCAGTAACACTGATGAGTGCCGACTGGGTGGTAAAGGGGAGCATAAGGCAAAGCCACGTGCCTCCAAAGTACCCACGAAGTGCGTGAATCAGCAGAACTTCATGGTCTTTGTGTCGCTGCAATAATACAATGAAATGTTTGCAACCAATTTTAATATTGAAATAAATTGTGGAAAAGCATCCTCATGCCACATGAAGCATTTTCCCAGAAATGATAATAAAATGATTTCAGACATCCCCCGGCTCCCAGATCTCTCCAGCTGGTTCTACCCAGGCACCTGCCGCTGTCCTGCTCAGTTTCTCCTTTTCTTTGTTTCTGGGGTGAATGCTCCCTAAAAGATCTTTTGGGAGAAATATTTAACCATTGATTAATTTTTAGAGGGTTCTCCAAACCCCATACTACTGACTTAATTGGGGGCAGGTAGGTTTTGTTCCAGTCTTTGTGCTACTGGTTTACAACATTTAAAAAATGAGATCACAGGAAAAAAAAACCCAGTCTTTAGAATGTGGGTATATGTGGCCAATTTTTAAATCAGTACCATTTGAAAGTTTTTAAAAATTTCCATATTGTGATTAGCTACAGATATATGTATACACACATTGATATGGCATATATACTACATTTTTGTCTGAACGCATATAAATTTGGAACAGTCCATAAAAGATCTCTATTATCAACGGATTTGTGATCCAGAAGAAATTATTGACTATATTACAAGCAGTGTTTAATAGCCTAGGAAAAGATGAAACAAATGAAACAGATTAGGAAAATATGCACGGTTATTTTAAAGTAAAGTGAAATTTGTTATCAAAGAGAAGGAGAAAAGAGATAAAATCTAGCGCTAGAGGTAAAGGATAGAAACAAGGATATTATATTAAACAATTTATTAAATATAATAAATTCTAAGCTTATTCAAATATGTTTTGGGTATTGACCTTCATTTTTTATTTATGAATTATGTTTTCAATTATTCAATTGAATAAAAGTTCTGAATTATTCTGAAGACAGGTTTAGTTGAGTGACTTCACCAACACAGTTCAGAAAAATGTAAGCCTCCCTAGTAATTAAAACTATAATTAAACATGTATAGCAACAGCACCTTACCCAGTCACTAGTAATTACCATAGAAAAGTAGAATAACTAGAAATTATTTTAATTTATACAGTAACACTGAAAACCACAAGACTTAACTGGGGTCAAAATGACATATGAGAAAATGTTGTCATCATTGGTTCACACACCCCAATTTAGGAGCTTTTCAGAGTTCTCTAAATCTATTATAACATATTTATATGTAATTTAAAATTTCTTAACACTTCTTGCTTTCTTTTAAATGAAGAGACATTTTGGTAGTAAATTCAAAATATGATAAAGCCTACAGGCCATTTTAGATGGACCCTACCCATCACAGATTTTGGACTAGGAAAGTATTAAATGTTTTGCATCAGCCAACTTCCCTCTCCACATCCTCCTAAAGACTACACCAAAATTCAAGGCCCCTGCATTCTGATATCCCCTCCAGTTACTTTTAAAGGTTTCATTCTCCAAAATGGCCTGCCCAGTAGAGAATTAGTTCACTACAGCGTTAATACACGCTGTCCACGTACTTTTTGTTGTGCAGTTGAAGGATTTCTAAACAAATCACTGGAGAGAATTGAATATGAATTGATAAAATTTTAACTAATTGGATTTAATCTTTTATTTTAAAAATATCTGAACCTGGATATGATAAAAGCTAAGAGCAGCTAACTCATAAAACAGAAGGCATCTTGCTCATTTTCTAAATCCTCAACAGAGCCTTATCTATTGAATTGAAAACAGTGGCATTTACCTCATTAGCCCCAGATCATCGTCAGACCAGCTGCATTAGCTATTTACTTCTCTCAATCGATTTTAGAAACTATACTATTCCAAATAGAACCCAAGGTAGAAGCTCGACTCCCACCATGGTTAAAGTGATTTTGCTTAGTGTTTTGCTATTTAACATTTGTAGATCTTTTCAGTGTTCACATACATGCGACTTGAACTTCTGATCTTCTTTGCAAGAGGGCTCCCATTCTGTTTCGAACCACACAGCGGTAAAACCCAGCATCCAGCCTCTGTAAAGATGGAATAACATACCTGCCAAACACCAAAAAGCAGTGTTAATGGTTCCGTACCTAGGCAGCCAGCCCTGGCATCTCATCTAGTATACTTTGGTATCTAGTACCAAAGATATTTAATTTTTGATAAACTAATATCTATGCAAGCTTTCCCCGACCTACACACTTACTGCAACTCCAATTTATTTGTGAGATTATTTACTTGCTATTTGTCTCTCCAACTAGACTGTAAATATCACATGAAGCTAGGTTCTGGAACTGTCTTGCTCACCATTGTACCCCTGTGCCATCACGTAGTACCAATAGATATCACTCAAAACTGCCTGAATGGATAAGAACTGTTAAATAGCTAAAAATCATTACAAGTAAACCAGACCTTTCAATGTTTTTTTTATAATTCTATCTCTCAGAATTTCTAAAAATTATTTCTAGAACTGGCAATGGTCTTAACATAATGTTTTGTGTCATTCTGCATCAAAGTTCAAACAATGCAGGATGAGACACAGGTGTCATTCAGGCAAAGCAAGCAGTGACATCAGGGCACAACTCCCCTCTCCAGTCCCCACAGCGAGCAGACATCTCCCAACACCATTTACACACTTTCCTTACTTCACATATGGCTTGACATTAACTTCTAAAACTTTTTTGATTGACTGGGAGGTTATTTCATTTGTATTTTCCATTCCTATAAGTATCCATCCCTCAAATCAATGCCTTTCTAAAAACGTCAGTAAATTTTATAGGGGGGACAAAGTAGCTAGAAGATACAGTTTCCATAAAAGCCCTGGTTTAGGTTTATGGTTAGTTTTATAATTCAGGATATTTTTAAATCCACGAACAAGCAGGAGGTACAACCGAGGACCACTTCCTGTGAGTTCTGCAGCTCCGGAGCTCAAACCTTTCGTGCTACCTAGAAGAGTGCATTTAATTGGTTTCTAAGCCATATTCACCAAAAATCAAGAATACGGGGCTTCCCTGGTGGCGCAGTGGCTGAGAATCTGCCTGCCAATGCAGGGGACACGGGTTCGAGCCCTAGTCTGGGAGGATCCCACACGCCGCGGAGCAACTGGGCCCGTGAGCCACAACTACTGAGCCTGCGTGTCTGGAGCCTGTGCTCCGCAACAGGAGAGGCCGCGATAGTAAGAGGCCCGCGATGAAGGGTGGCCCCCATTTGCTGCAACTGGAGAAAGCCCTCACACAGAAACGAAGACCCAACACAGCAATCAATCAATCAATCAATCAATAAAAGACTAAGGCTTGATTTTCACACATGGGAGGGTGCTTATCCTGAGAAAGAATAAGAGAGCTAAAACCCAATCAAATAGGAGCCTACTTTCCAAAAAAAAGAGAAAACACAGTGATGCTCTCCTTTCTAAGAACATGTTCTGATAATAGTTATCTTCAGGTTAAAAATATTTCCTCTTACAAAGTATAATCAGAGAAACCTAAAAAAAAAAAAAAAAAATCAGGTAAAAGGCACCAAGTATGGTACGCTTTATTTGCTCAGCTCTTACACATACCTTAACATCACTTATATTCAACTAATTGTGCCTCTTTTTATTCAAGTATGTCCAATTAGTCAACTGGAAAAAGGAACTGATAGGCATAATTTTTAAATGAATGAAACATTTGGACAATACAGGTAGTTCAGTATTAAGCAAATATCAATCAGAGCGTGTTTACCCTCTGATAACCATCTTGAGATCTTACGAGCAAGATTAATAAAATATTTTATGAAAAAATACTGCTGAGTCTCAGTCTTCAAAATTTTATTCTATTCTGAGGAATGGTTTATCTCAAACAAAAAATTAATTAGTGCAGACAATCAGGACAATACCAAACTGAACACAAAGAGTCAAAATGCCATTTATTTAAATTACAAATCAAGACTAGAAGGATGAGCAGCTTTGATTACACACTATGATTGTAATTAGGAGAGATTTTGAGATTAGGTTAAAACAAAGTCAATAAAAGCTTTTGGAAAAGAAATAACACAAGTTATTGGAGTACATATTTGAAAAACTACAAGAGCAGTTTCATCATTGCAAGCTAACCTCATTTATACGATTGTTATTCATTTCATTTTTCCTTTTTTGCAGTATCCTGAATAGATTTTATATTCTTTTTGTTTGTTTTGGTTTTTTGTTTGTTTTTGTTTTGTGGTAAGAGGGCCTCTCACTGCTGTGGCCTCTCCCGTTGCGGAGCACAGGCTCCGGACGCGCAGGCTCAGCGGCCACGGCTCACAGGCCCAGCCGCTCCGCGGCACGTGGGATCTTCCCGGACCGGGGCACGAACCCGCGTCCCCTGCATCGGCAGGCGGGCTCTCAACCACTGCGGCACCAGGGAAGCCCTAGATTTTATATTCTTATAAATTTCTACAGTAATCCTGTGTACTAATGCACAAAAACAGCACTGCTTTCAAACAACTGGGAGAAACAGATACAAAACTGAATATTAGGCATATGCTGTTTTGTACTGTCTCTTTAGTCTAATGTCTCACCAGGGAAAAAATATACAAAAAAGTGGCAAAGTACTCCACCTATTACAGGAATCCCTACACAAATTATGTTTACCCAACAGATGGGAATATTCATTGGAAGCCTATTGTTTATAAACACACATTTTTAAGCAGAGAAAGTTTCCCGGCTCCTTATAAGTATGATCAAATCCTAGCACCATATGCCACTAAAATATAGAAAATGCCTGCTCCTGTTTCAAATAAGCACAGCTGGGAATGTTTGTATTCACTGTTTCAAGGCAGAATCTACTAGACTAACAGAACCTTTTCCAGGGCTAGTTCATTATCAGGAAGAGCAAATTAAAGAAAATCAAACACAAAGTCACAACAAACCCAAGGGTTTAAACGCTCATTTCTGCTATGTAGGAGACTACCTCAGTTCCGAACTGCCACTCGGAATGGGCAACAAGAGCGACTCTAGAATTTCTCTAAGAAGCAGTTTTAGGTCCATTTCCGTCCGTGAACAATCGCTTGACTAGCCCTGCCTGGAAAGGATATCTGACATTTTTTGTGTGCCTGGGGTCTGCACCATGTTCTTATATTTGGAGGGTTCTCCACCATGAGTCCTGGTGGAGGCGGACCCCTACATCAGCAGGGCACAGGAATGAGACACCACAGGACCACTGCACACACGTGCACTGGGCTTTCAGATCTGGGGCTGGCGATGCACAGGAGCAGGGCTAAAGGAGAATCTGTCCAACAGCAGCAGCGGTGGGGCGCCATGGAGCCCTGGACTGGGGAACGGTGCAAGCGTCCAGGGCCCATAGTGGCAGTGGCTCAAGCAGCGGCAACCAGGGTCCAGCAGTACCAGCAGCAGGACCCTGTGGGGCTGGCTCTTGGGGCAACTTGGCTCTGATGGGCTCGCCTCCCTCTGTTCCTGCCCAATGTCCAGTCAGCCCAGTGACTGTAAGAGCAACCCAATGTCCAGGTGACAACTTCCTTTTTTGTTTCAACGAGAGAGAGCTTGTTTGGCTTGTCCTAGAACTCCCCAGAATGTAGCCAAAATAACTTTGGTTGAAAAAGCTTCTGAAGTTACTAGGTACTCACCATGGTCACAGAAAAGCCCAAATAACGCCTCACTGAATCATCTGTTTTTAAAAAATCATGGCTTCCCAGCTAACCACTAAGAATCATTAAGTGGTAAACAGTCCCCCCAAAACTGAGACCAATTAATCTTTTATAAGGAGTATTCCTGCCATGAGCCACTAAAATTTTAGAAAATGTCTGACAAAATACTATATGCTTTGGAACAGTTACCGTTGAGCAGTTCTTCCCAACAAGAGTTAAATGCTCTAAGCACACAGGTCTACAGAGACCCGTCACAGTTCAGAATAACGAAACCACGTCTTTGATATAGAAGAGAAAACCCATACTTCTCCCTCTAAGGTCAGCGGACATAACTCGATCCATGAGAAAGAATTTTCATACCCATTAAAATTAGATATAAGGTTTTCTTCTTTTTGGGGGGGTCTACATTCATTTTATGCCACTCCAGACAAGACTATTCCCCACAGCTTTGATTTTTTAAAAATTAAAGTATGAAAATATCTATTCCGGTATGAAAGTATCTGGTATGAAAGTATCTATTCTGCACGAAAATAAACAACCAAGTTCTATAATAAACTTTCATATCTTGGCCCAAAGCCCATTATTATCTTTAAAGTGAAAAAATGTTTAAGAAAAAAAAAAACAGAACTAAGCCCTTTATATCCTTCTTGGAACTAATTCCATCCTATTTTTGGAAACAAGATTACAAATAATTGTATTTTCAATTTTATTTTTATAAATTTCCTATATGAACATTTAAAATACAGCAACAGTCAAAAGTGGAATGAGTCCATAGCGGGCTTTTGCCACAAGCAAAGAGTGAAATGAAACATCCAGACTGAAACTTGTTAACAAAGAGACGGACACGTGTCCAGCTCACTAACAGGTCTTAGACGTTAAGCAAATTGACGGTTATGTTTTGAATCCTTTCCAAAGAGTTACAGTAATCAGTATGAAGTTAAAGTAAACAGCATAATAAAGATGCAAGTTAGCCGATAGGAACATCATACACACAAAAGTCCTTTAATCTCTATTTCATTTACTTAAAATTCTGCATTAAGTTGAAAGAGGCAATAAACAGGTCCCTGCTGGGGATGGGCTAAGTAAGCATCTACGGAATCTGTCTGGGAATATAAATCTGGGGACTGTAAGCCCTCCAGGGATCAACTGGATGCTGAGTATCCACATACCAGGAATAACTACATTTAAATTTTATATTCACTTATAAACACCAATTCAAAATTTCTAGAGTTAACATTGAAAAGTTACTAAGAATCTTCTTCTGGGATTGTGGTTTATGTGATTTTCTCTAACAGTAACAATGTTTGGGGATCATTCATTCTTCCTGCATTCCTACCTTCTATTATCAAACCAGGGACAGTAAAGGAGAAATTCACATTTTGGTAAACATGGACACATGACCGGAACTAGTCTGTCAGATCTGTCATTAGGAG